TGAATAAAAACGCTATACAATGCATATTTCATAATATTTTAGAAATCTAGGCTAAATTTCTCTTCCCTGATAACGTTGTTTAAGATAATCATCATCGTAGGAATATGTAGATAAACGAAATCGCTTTTTCTTAACGGAAATCATAAAAAGCTTTGGCGACTAAACCTTGGAAAAATATACGAATAAAACCCGGAGATATTTAATTTATTATTATTATTAATATAAAAGGTCGTTTATTGGCATTTTCCTATTACATGTTTCACGATAACTATACGAAATCTGCGCAATGAATAACATATTTCCAACTTATAATTGTTGATATCTATATTTTGATCGGTGAAATTATATTACAATCTAATCTTGTTACGATCTTATTTGTATCATTGTGTAACAGGACAAGAATTTTAAGAATTGCGTTCTATATCTTTATTAGTACGTTGTAAAGTCCAATCGAATGATTCGGTTCTGTTACGTATGTAAAGTGTGATCCTGTTTATACCATGTATGTAGTATAGTTGTCTGTTATTATTTACTTCTTTTTATGATACTCTCCTACGAGTAGTTTACTTCTCTCATTGAAATTGTTGTACAGAATCGCTTGCTTCGAATTTCTCGACATTCTCAAGACTTTAATAACAGTTTGCATTCACAGCCCTCCTAAATATATATCTAAGTATGTAACCTATTTTCTGTATCGTTATTAAGCACTATTGTCGCCCCATCGCATCATTGATATGTGAATTCCAAAACGATAAGCCAATTTAAATCAGAGCGATAAATCTAAAATAACGAGTAAAATAATAACAGGAATTATCGTTTGAAAATAATCTAAACTTACATTGTTTAATGATTGTATCGTCCGGTACAATGTAGCAAGATATGTTGATAGTCCGATAAGTTACCTATAAAAGTCAAATCTTACAACCTGGTAATGTCAGTTCCTTCCTAAAAACTGACTATAGGAAGGTGTGTTATTTTTCAATCGTCAGAAATAAATCTGTTGGAATGAGAGGTGAGTAATTTTACTTGTGATATAATTCGCAACCATGTATGTTGCTTTCGGGGCTTTATCTTACTTTGGTATGTTCTTATATCGCATATTTTAGACGTATATTCTTTGAGAAAATATAGAGAACGAAATAAATTTATTCGGTTACTGATGAACATTAACGACGAAGGAAGTTATTTTCAATTACGAATAATCATCGTAGATGAACATTTTTTGCTTATTGGAACCACTATTGAAAATTGTTACGCTGTTAACTGCTACACTTAGCGCCCATATATTCAACACTGCGTCGTATATGCATTCATCAGGTTGCTACAATCACGATCAATACGGTTTTTAGTTACCTATAACCATTAACGATGACCAAATTATTTTCATTAGCAATAATCATGATCAATGATGGAACTCGTTTTAGTCCGTCACTGATAATGATAATCAAAACAAGTTTTTGCAAGATTTCTTTAAGATGTAGGGGACATTAGTTTCCACTCAAACAGAAATTAGCTTTTTCTTCATGACACGCAGAATAGTATGGACATACAGAATGGCAGATTCGATATTTTTTTCTATTTCAGATTTATTATTACTGGTCATTGCCGTTTTGGCAGTGACGGGGAACGCTTTTGCCGAAATACACGAAATTCCCACAAAATGTCCAGAATCTGCAGGCAAAACCGTACAGCTCGCTCACAAACACGATTGTACCAAGTTTTACGAGTGTTCCAATGGACAGAAGCTACTCTCGAATTGCCCAGAATTTGCCCCGGGAGAGAAGCTGCATTTCGACCCTGAACTTCAAAATTGTACTTTCCCATGGGAGGCAAATTGCGCGTCAAGAGCTCCGGATTGTTCAAAGGACGAATTCATACAACCTCATCCCACCAACTGTAGCCTTTATTATAAATGCGAGAACGGGGAAAAAGTTTTAAAAACGTGTGACGAGGGACAGCTATTTAATTTTGACTCTTTAGAATGCGTAGACAAAGATGCCGCCAAGTGTAAAGTTTACGATTCATGTCCAACAGGTAAATTGTTGGAGGCTGTACTTCTCCCGCACTATCGCGAATCGCTGTATTACGAATGTATCGATGGACAAGATGCTGTCAGACGGTGCCCATCGGGCCATGTATTCGACAATGAACTTAGGCAATGTGTATCTAAAGTTTATTGTCCTGGAACCGGCACTAAGAGAATTTCTCATGAGACGGATTGCGGTTTATTTTACGAATGCATGGATGGTGTTAAGGTAGAGAATGCTTGCGAAGATGGATTGTCTTTCGACGAATCCAAGGGCATATGTACTTGGTCTCCGAGACACGAGTGTTCGAAGGAAAAAAATATCATAGATTGTCCGCCAGAGGGATATACATTCTTACCACACGAATGCTCTTGCACCAAGTATTACTCTTGCGAAGACGGGGAGAGATTTATACAACAATGCCCTGAAGGCATGATGTATGATTATATTAGAAAAGTTTGCGATTTATCGCGTACCGCCATATGTTGGAACCAAATGTATACTGACGGCAATTACCTAGATCCAAATTGTTATAATTCAACTGACTGTCCAATCTCTAGCCATGCTCGCTTCCCTCATAAGGAGTGTAGGTTTTATTACGAGTGCAAAGGGGGTGCGAAATGTCTTCGGAGGTGTTCTGAAGGGCATGTCTTCAATCCAAATCTCCAATTGTGTGATCTACCTAAGAACGTTCCCGGCTGCGGCGGTGGTGGCAATAACGAACCTGACGATACGACACCTAATAATACAGACAATGATTGTACTTGGTGTAATTGTATTAATTGTATTATTCGGTCAGCTTATCCAGAAGACTGTAATCTGTATTATCAATGTGAAAATGGACAGAAAGTGATAAAGCGCTGTCCTCGAAATCTAGTATTCGACCATATAAATCAGATTTGTGACTATCAAGAAAATGTACATTGCATACCCACAACTACGAGCATAACCACGCCCACAACTACGAGCATAACCACGCCCACAACTACCACTACCACTACGAAGCCGTCCTTTTGCATTGAAGGACAGCGAAAACCTCACGAGTGTCAATGCAGTGAGTATTACGAATGTCACCACGAACGATACCAATGGTTCAGGTGTAGCCCAGGCAAATGGTTTGATTGGATACTGTTAGAATGTGTGGAACAAAACAGAGCTAACTGTTACCACCAAAAAAATAAAGATTGCGAAGGCACTTGTTCGTCAAGCACTAGCCGGTTGCCCCACAAGGACTGCGACAAGTATTGTACATGCTACCGGGGAACCACCACAGTTGAAACCTGTCCCCGCCATATGTATTACGACCGAGGTACACAAAACTGCCAGTGGCCAGAAGATATAAGTTACTGGGGGACGCAGTGTAATCCTTCCGACTGCAGCTTCGGTGAAAATTATGTTCCTCATGAATGTTTATGTTACGGATATTATAGCTGTTCAGGGAATTCGAAAACAATTGAATGGTGTGGAAACGGGCAATACTTTGACTATAGAGAAGAAAGATGCGTTGATAGTAGAGATGCTCACTGTTATGTGAGCCCATCATGTGAAGCAATTAAGAAATGCGGAACCTGTGAGGCCACAAAACACAACACAAGTAGTTACGCAGATGATTGTCAAAGATATTGTAGATGCAGCGGTAGGAAAGTGTATATCGAGCAGTGTGCCAGCGGTCTGTATTACGACATCCAGTCAGGAGAATGTGCCTGGCCTGAAAACGTAAATTTAACATTAGGGCACTGCCCGCTCGTAACTGACTGTACCAGAACTTCCAAGTCTATACCCCATAATTGTCGATGTAACCTTTATTATGAATGCATAGAAGGAGTCAAATATTACGCAGAATGCCCTGGTACATCATCTTTTGATTATGTACTCGGAACCTGTGTGAATAAAGAGCCCCATTGTTATCATGAATTTTCGACACCTGATATAATCAATTCCTGTATAGGGCACTGTCCGGAGCAGACGTCTTCTAGTCCGATTGTCCGTTTGCAACACAAAGATTGCAACAGATACTGCGTATGTTCAATGGGAGCTCCTTATATCGTCAATTGCCCTGGATGTAGTCAGTATGACAGTCAACTGCAGACCTGTGTACCTTCAAATCTTTGCAACTGCGACCTACGGGCAAACAAAACTTTGTGGTCGGATATACCATTTGTGAGCAATTTTCTTTAAAAGCTAGGAAATGAATCGTAGAATCAAAAAGAAACGATTTCATAGAATAATCGCTAAAGATAAATGGTTTGTCGTAATAGCTTCATAGAGTATCTCTGAATTCCATAATATTACGATGTTACAAGGTTAAAACGCAATGCCATTTTTATATATTGTCTAATTTATGTAATATTCTAGGATGACTGCATTAAATTTGACCACAAATCGCAAATTTTCTGTAAATAATAAAATTAAAGATAAGTGACACCATTTAATTAACATTCATTGTTATATGTATGCGTAGCATGAAACTATATCAATTTAATTATATTCGCTATGTATATTGTTACTATTTTATGTTGTAAAAGTGTGATTGATTAGCAAAAACATTACCATAAATATGGTAGTTACATACATAGCAAACGTAAATCAAAGATACCATGTAAAATACAAAAGATCGGATTGTAAAACATTCGATGGAAATAAAAGTTGTTCGATATTGCATTGTATTCTATATGTTAAATGATTTTCGCAATGACGAAATATCCCCCAGATGTAGATACGGTAGAATTCCTATTATCCGGCATACTCGTGAGAGGAGTCGAATAATCAAATTGGGCTATACCTATGGAGCGATAAAAACGAAGAAAATAATTTGAAAACCGACCACCGATAAATATGTAATGCAATTTATACGAATAAGAGTAAAATATGCAGACAAGATATGTAGATTATACAAGGTATGAAATATACGTCTAACTGACATTAATTTAATTTCCTTTACCTATGGATACACACTAAATAGTTTAAAGTTGAATATGGAGACGTACATCGTCGATAAAATACATTCTTTATATTCATGAATTCTAATTCTTTTGTTTACTAGTTGCGCGTAATTATATAAATGATATCGTGATACCAAATTTGCGCGCTTTTCAAACGCGATCTAGCAATTTTCATTGACATGGTCTCGGTAGCTTTACAACCCTAACTCAATCATTTGTTAAATATGATATTAAAATTATAAATATATTTTCACTTAATAGGTTATATTAATATTCATGACGTAGACATATCAATACTCGTGATGTAGGTCGTAACACTATGATAGAATATAAATTGATAAAGGTAACGATATCGAAATACGATTCGATTAAAAGGAACTAATTCAAAACTAGATTAAAATTCAATTGAAACACGATAATTTTTGTTGCAAAGTACTTGTATTTTATTTTTGAATATATTTTAGTTTTCGATGAAACCCATCGTTTCCTCAATAGAGGTATGGGTTATGAAGGTTATGAGGTAAATCATAATTGGTCTTATAGCTAATTTTAAAATATCACAGTACTACCAAATTTCGCACATATTATTGAAATAAAGAATAAATATCCTTAGATCGTGTGTATTGCGTAGTGTATCTGTTTGGCGTAAGTTGCGCACATTACATTTTATTAAAACATTTGCTGATATTTGTTTTTTTTTTTTATCAAAAACTGAAATTGTCAAAAGTATAAGTATAGGTATAGAAAATTTTCATGAAAAAGCGACTTTAGGTAATTTCATTAACGGATCCATTGCTGTCCACAACCACTTAAATTTTATCGATTGATGTGGCTAACTCGGTTTCAAAACAATATTATAAGATATCGATTCGAAATCGCTTTTAACGATGGAATTTGTATATTCTGTAACTTAAATCAGAACTTCCATTGTTCTATACATGAATGCACAATGAATGTTGAATTGTTGGATGTTTCAACATAACTTTCATACTATCATTAATAAAAATCAATATCAATCTTGTAACCCAATACATTATTATTCACGTAACCTTCAGTCTGAAAAATTTCCAACTGTTTAGGTATAATAAATTAATGAAATACGAATAATGAAATAAAATAATTTATTTTTCTGTTAGAGTTATTTCATTGTTTTCTATTTTGATCTATCGTACTTAAGATTAAAAAGCTTAGTAGAAAGAGAGTAAAAATCATGTTATTAGTAAGTTATTTAATTGATTTCGAGTATTACGCCATAATGATAACGATATATAACCTCATTTTGAAGAAGTATGGTGAATAGCAAGACGATTTTATTATTCTCGAAAAATTAAGAAAAATTTTCTGTTCGTTACAATATTTTTCACTTCCAAACAAATAATGCTTCCTTTGGCATTTTTCCTTATTTATCAAAAATACATGAGATATTTAAGGTGATCCAGTTGGGTTGTTTCTCTTATACTATATGTAAAACAGTACTTTTATTCTATGCCGTAACACATTAAAGCGAAACTTTTAATTTGCTGAATACGTTGTACTTATTACCTATTACGTTGTACCTACCTGTAATTATTGGTTTGATAGATCAAGCTCTAAATATAAAGGAAATGGTAGAATAATGATGATCAACTAAAACTTCGGTAAACTGATCCCAAGTTAAATAAGGATGTACGTATTGGCAGAGATAAGATAAATGATATGTTAATGATAAGATTCAGTCCATTATAAAAGTCGATTCGCATAGATTATATTTGTCAGTTTTCTGTAGATAAGGAATGGTGACTTCGTTTTATTATACAGAATGAAGGGTAAGTAACTTGAATATTTTTAACAATTTCTCGTAGGAAAAAATTCATAAAGAAGATAACGATGCCCATTAGTACAATAAGTAAGAGACAAAAAGATGTAGTTTAAATAAAACGGCAGGCACTTTATTTTACAAACTGGCAAACAAAAATGCTTGAACCCTCTCAATATGTACGCTTAATAAATAATGACAGTTGAAGATGTAAGTTAAAGATAAAATTTGATAAATTACAATAATGTTTTCTTTTCATACATTTCAGTGTTATATCTGTTGTTCATTGCTGTCACTGTAGCGACGGCGGACGAAAATTGTCCTGAAGTAGTATCTCACGACTGTATTCCAATGCAGCAATGCATTGGTAAAGGAAACAAGAATTATACGCATCATATTCCTTATCTTGACGACTGTCATAAATATTATAAATGCTTAGGACATATTGCATGTCTACTATGCTGTCCAAGGTTCGGCAGTGGACAAAATCGGCTGGTCTTCAATCCTGAAGAGCAGGTCTGTGACTGGCCATTTAAAGTACCAAAAGCAAAATGCTATGACATTTTTCCATCGACCACCCCGCCAACTACTCCATCGCAACCGACCACGCAGCCAACTACTCCACCGCAACCGACCACGCAGCCAACTACTCCACCACAACCGACCACGCCACCAAAGAACCGACCACCTCGCCAACTACTCCACCGGAACCGACCACCTCGCCAACTACTCCACCGGAACCGACCACCTCGCCAACTACTCCACCGGAACCGACCACCTCGCCAACTACTCCACCGGAACCGACCACCTCGCCAACTACTCCACCGGAACCGACCACCTCGCCAACTACTCCACCGGAACCGACCACCTCGCCAACTACTCCACCGGAACCGACCACCTCGCCAACTACTCCACCGGAACCGACCACCTCGCCAACTACTCCACCGGAACCGACCACCTCGCCAACTACTCCACCGGAACCGACCACCTCGCCAACTACTCCACCGGAACCGACCACCTCGCCAACTACTCCACCGGAACCGACCACCTCGCCAACTACTCCACCGGAACCGACCACCTCGCCAACTACTCCACCGGAACCGACCACCTCGCCAACTACTCCACCGGAACCGACCACCTCGCCAACTACTCCACCGGAACCGACCACCTCGCCAACTACTCCACCGGAACCGACCACCTCGCCAACTACTCCACCGGAACCGACCACCTCGCCAACTACTCCACCGGAACCGACCACCTCGCCAACTACTCCACCGGAACCGACCACCTCGCCAACTACTCCACCGGAACCGACCACCTCGCCAACTACTCCACCGGAACCGACCACCTCGCCAACTACTCCACCGGAACCGACCACCCCGCCAACTACTCCACCGGAACCGACCACGCAGCCAACTACTCCACCGGAACCGACCACGCCGCCAACTACTCCACCGGAACCGACCACCCCGCCAACTACTCCACCGGAACCGACCACGCAGCCAACTACTCCACCGGAACCGACCACGCCGCCAACTACTCCACCGGAACCGACCACCCCGCCAACTACTCCACCGGAACCGACCACGCAGCCAACTACTCCACCGGAACCGACCACGCCGCCAACTACTCCACCGGAACCGACCACCCCGCCAACTACTCCACCGGAACCGACCACGCAGCCAACTACTCCACCGGAACCGACCACGCCGCCAACTACTCCACCGGAACCGACCACCCCGCCAACTACTCCACCGGAACCGACCACGCAGCCAACTACTCCACCGGAACCGACCACGCCGCCAACTACTCCACCGGAACCGACCACCCCGCCAACTACTCCACCGGAACCGACCACGCAGCCAACTACTCCACCGGAACCGACCACGCCGCCAACTACTCCACCGGAACCGACCACCTCGCCAACTACTCCACCGGAACCGACCACGCAGCCAACTACTCCATCGAAATCGACCACGCAGTCAACTACTCCACCGAAACCGACCTCGCCGTCTGATGATAATCCAACTCATGCGCCAATAGTAAGTAATTGTCCATCAAGTGGAGTCGTAAATATACAGCATGAAACTGACTGCAATAAGTATTACACATGTCACGATGGAAGAAAATCGTCTGTAAAAGTATGTGCAGTAGGTACGCTTTACAACCATATAATTGGTGCATGCGACTTGAAGGAACATGTTCGCTGTGGGTAAGATGAATGTGAAAGAAAGATCTTTCTGTTTGCTACAGATTTAATTTATAAGAAAAAAACACCCCGTCCCGTAAAATTGCAGGAGCATAATATAATGCTTTTACATTTATTAACTCTGTATATAATTCTTATAGTTGTTTTTCATAATATCTATACTTCAGTGTAATGGAGAAATTGAAATATATGTATTGTGAAATTCTAATTAATAATAAAGTATTCAAAAATATATCAAATAAAATGTCGTTTATTTCGTACTAATACCTCCTATTTCGCACAAATCGTAACGAGACGACTAGTTGTCATCTTTTTACCTTTTTTTAAATTCATGGAGGCACTTTTTTCCTTCAATTGCAAATTGAGGCGAACTTGTTTACAAAGAGAATTATTTTTATCATAATATTGATAAGCAATTTAAATAGAGCAACTGACAAACAATCGAATGTAACGGGATGTATATGTCGTAAACAGGATATAGGACACGCAAATTACTTTATTGCACATCGTCGTAGTATTTTTCAACTGTGTCTAATACGTGACAAGGCGGAGAATCGATTCGTGAAGTGCTCTTCTTAGGGTCATACTTTTCCACCTCATCGAGGAATCCACTCTCTTCTTGCTTCCTCTTTTCGAATTGTCGGTTTGCTTTCGGTTGCTGCGATCGTTGAGAATTCTCCAGGATTGTTTTCATCGAATCCCAAACATAATTAACTTCCGGTACAGAGGAGAGAACACTTCCCCTTTTTCCATATCTATTCACGTATTAGAAGCATTATAATAATGTTATAATAACTTTACCGTATCTCCTACAAATACACACGTTTATGTTCAAACTACCAATTATCACGCCCGAAGGAAAAGTTTCAAATTCTTACAATATTCATAAAAATTCATAAATTGTTTATACGTTTGCTGTAAACGCGATACGAATTAATTGCGTCAAACAATACGTTACACAACCGAGCAAAAGGTGTGATTCTATTTGTCTCTGCTCGTCTTTTTATGCAGATATGCGCAATGTCATTATTTGCTTCTTATCATTATGATCATCATACTTCTTGTCGATCTGTATTATTGGTTTTTTGTTGTATTTCACTCAAATGATTTTGTAAATAAGAGTAGGCCTGTATGTATATTGTCAAAAATTAATTTTATTAACGTGAAAACTGTTGAAAATATCGACTATAATATTTCATATGCAATTATGCTCTTTGATCTAAATTATTATACAATTCTTGTAACGTATCGTGCACCCTTATCTTTTGTTTCTAAAATATACCTTTGATTTAATAAAACATCGAGAACAAAAGTTTGTCAGGTCGAAACATAGAATTGATACACACTGTATCGAGCAGGTTATCAACATCTTTTCTCGGCAACGGTGTCTCATGTCATGGAAAAACTTTATTCTACATGTTTGACTTATTTTTTCACGAGAAATCGCCTCTTGCTCGATTATAGGTACCACCAATTACCGAACATTCAATACATTTCAAAAAAATATATCGGATAACGTCAGAATACATTATTACCTCGCTTTCCCATTAAGGGAATAGAAATCACTAACATGATCGAGGTATTTTCTTAATTCTTCCTGATTCTTAAATATTTCTGGCCGAGTTGGTCTGGCCATCGGTCCCGGTTCGCCATGAACAATCCCAGTTCCAAGAATAAAAAGAACGAGAAACAAGTAGATGCTATTCGAACACGATTGCATTCTTCTCGTCAGAAATCACCGATTACTGAAAAAAAAAATTATTCTTGGTAAACACGACACTTTTTCTTGACATTTTATTGCATACTTAATTACGTAATAAAACACAAGCCACACAATATTCACGAAACAACAGAAATTTCTGTGCTGCACATTATCCACTTGTTCAAATTTCCCCGTTTCATAATACACTTAATATTTCGAACACAGCTGTTTCAATAAGCATTTCATTTTCAATTTGCCTGACATCTCACTGAATATTTCACTATCATAATTCAAATACCGTTGTATTATACAATAAAATGAACGGTTGATTTCCAATGGTATCGTACGAATCGTTTCGTTTTCTCATCGTTATTAATTCATTGGTATAATATTTAGCTTGTTTCACATGTGTTTCAACTCTGTTCTACAGAAAGCATAAATAATCGTATTCGTTCTAACCGTACATCGTGATTGGAAATATCATTTGATTGTTTGATTTAATAAGCCGTACAACTGTAGCTTAAAATTCCCTCGATTGGTATTTAAGTGTACGTGAAAGCATAGCGTGAATTATGAAAAGCAATTTCGAACAATTCCGGATAACATGATACAGAATGAACAGATGCAAATGGAAATTGAACATGAAGTCGAGTTTAACTTCATCGATACTGAAATCTTTCCGCGGGGAGCAGTTGATGATTTAAAATTTAATATTGAAATGCAATTGATTGGCGGATTAATTTATTCGAGGCAGCGTGTCTCGAAAGTCAAGGTCACGGTAATTTACGGAAATTTTCAAAGTCCCGCGAAACTAGACCGTCTTGACCGACTTGACCATCGTCTCAAATCGACTTTCACGCATTGATTTTACGGATAATATGATTTTAAGAAAATCACAAAGAAACTTCGACACTAATTACGTGACAATTAAGAGTCATTAAGATGATAATATGCGAGGTTTATCTATGATTTAATTTGTGCTGTGGATTGATTGCTCGCTATAAAGGAGGCGTCGAGTCGTCTATTTTCTCGTTTTATAGAGGTCTGTGGTCTAAAAGAATACACATCGTTTGGCGTAAACTAGCTACATAAAAGATACTCTCGTAAGCTTGATAATCCAGCAAGAAATGTGATTGTAAAGGAGAACGAATATTCATACAAGATTTAATACGCTGCATGTTTCATATCCCGCCTTTTTATAAATGCATTAACTTTTCATGGCGCATTAAATGTCGCGGGATTTATGAATGCGAAGAACGACTTAATTAATGGAACATGTTAACTCGAAAGTTCAAGAGGAGAGTAACTACGCACAATAATTGAACTATAAGTTCATTTGCATCGATCTGGTTGATACATGCAGTTCATATTCATGAAAAGAAAAATTCTTATTCAACAAGATAATTCTTATCGAATATGTAAAACTAATTGTTATGCCAAACAACGGTAGCACACACACATATATGTCAAATATAACGAGTTATCGAGCCTATCACGATATATTACTTTCAAACTTAGCTGATTCTAGCTATTACAGGTCCATCCTACAAGATGTCATTAATACTATCGAGTCTTAGTTATAAAACGTTTCAAGTTTTTTTTAATAACGAGGAGAACACTGAACACGATTCGTGCTGGTTGTCTGTATCTTTCTAACACGTTCCAATAGTCAATAATAAGTATGCTATTAATTATTTCTAAGAACAATGCGAATTATCAGTACAAGAATTACTTCGAATTGACGAAAAACAATGATTTTATATTAGTCCAAAGCGATAGAGCTATACTTGTAGAATTAAATCGTAACTTTTGTTACTCGTAAGGAAGGTAAATGTGTAATCACGTATAAGATGTTATCAATGTCGAAATAGATATGGATACATTAATCGCCGAATTTTTTCGAAATATGTCGAAAACTTAGATCTAACTACGCATCTAACTACGAAGATATCACTGCAGGATGTATAGTTTATAGATGATCATAGTTTGATAAAAACGATTTTATTAATCAAAGTAAACTACACGAAAGCAACATGAACGATAGACTTGCGTGATCAGTACCTTGTTGTTCAAGAGTTTTATCGTAAATTATTATTACTCACCGATTAGTTGAAGTATCAATCCGTTGCGACGAAAAGATTTCCTGTATCCTAATGGAATATTCAGAAGTTGAAATCGAATCGGGCGCTCGCACCGCAGGACAGGAGTATATATACCTGGGAACGCACCCTCTGTCGCACCCCCTCGGCGGCAAATCGCGTATCGCGCAGCCAATCCACGCGGTTCAACCCCACCAGTCACTTTCCCCACTATCCCTTCGTCGATCCTTTTCTTTCGATCTTTGTATAAGGATTACGCTTAACAATTCGATTTAAAAGATCGATTTATCCCAACAAGGACGATCCCTGGCGTATCGATTATTCCTTTGTAATTTTTATCATTCGCGGTTTAACGTCAATCGTGTAAAATACTTTCCTCTATGCTATGGTAATATTACGGTGAAACGACATTTTCAATATATGCTCTGATCAAAATGTGATGAAAAAAGAAGCTCCTTTCTAAAGGCGATGTCTACGTTCAACGTAGTATTCTACGATAAATGTCCTTTCCTAGCAGTTCCTTTCCTGCGAGCAATAAAAGTACTGTCTGTAAAAGTGTAATCAGATTGTAATGTAGTCTTGCGTGGATTTTATGAAACGTTTCCGCAACCAAGTCATCCCCGTAGGACGTAAAAACGGATATTACTTTCGCGAGTATTCTTTTGATAAAAACTGTACAATAATTTTAATAAATAGCCGCTCCTTTTTAAAGTAAAAGCATTCGATTTATTCACCAAGCATTGGTTTCTTCTTCTAATCGTCTCGTTAATTGTACCTTCATCAATTTACTATCGCATCTGAATTATTTTTGTCCGGATTCGGCCGTTTAAGTTTTCACGAAATCACCCTCGTTTCCCCAATCTACTTTATGTTTAAAGTAAAACGTGATCCTAACTCGAACGGATATCCGCTGTTGAGACTTTAGAAACAAAATATCCGCGCGATACATTCGTCAATCTTAAGATCGTTAAACACGAGACAAGGCTTTCCGGAACTTAAGAATGACGATAACGATTCGAAAGCCACGCGCGCTAGAAATGATGGATGTAATATTGGCGTAATATTTCTCGTGTATACGTTGGCTTGATTGAATCGTGATGAGCATATCGATAGATGCGTTACAAGAGATTGTAGATATATTCTCACACAGGATCATTGTACGCGCTCCATGGGAAAGAAACTGTATTAATAAAACGACACCCTACAGGTTTCGTAGATTCCAGGATATAAAAGTTACTCGGAAGGCTCTCGTTAACGCGTTGACTGCCGCGCGAATTTTCTATACTTTTCCATGACAATCGTAATAAATTGAAGCATACACTAGATATACATAAACAT